CAACCCCTGTTTTTTCTGTTTTCCTTTTGCTTTGTAAATTTTCCTCCATCCCTTTATTTTGGGTCTATGTGTTTCTTTGTACATGAGATGGGTCTCTTGAAGACAGCATGCTGATGGGTCGTGGCTGTTTATCCAGCTTGCTATTCTATGTCTTTCCCACCCCCACCCCACCCCATCCCCACCAAGGGAGTCTCTCTGTCACCCCAGGCTGGAGTTCAGTGGCGTGATCTTGGCTCACTGCAACCTCTGCCTCCTAGGATCAAGCAATTCTCCTGCCTCAGTCTCCTGAATAGCTGGTGCATGCCACCACACCTGGCTAATTTTTTTATTTTTAGTAGAGATGGGGTTTTACCATGCTCACCAGGCTGGTCTCAAATTCTTGACCTCAAGTGATCTGCCTGCCTTGGCCTCCCAAAGTGCTGGGATTACAGGCATGAGCCACTGCATCCAGTCTATTCTGTGTCTTTTAATTGGGGCATTTAGCCCATTTACATTTAAGATTAGTATTGTTATGTGTAAACTTGATCCTGTCATCATGATGCTAGCTGGTTATTTTTCAGACTTGTTTATGTGGTTGCTTCATAGTCACTGGTTTGCGTACTCCAGTACATTTTTGTAGCGTCTGGTAACGGTTTTCCCTTTCCATATTTAATGCTTCCTTCAGGAGCTCTCGAAAGGCAGGTCTGGTGGTGATGAATTCCCTCAGCATTTGCTTGTCTGAAAAGGATCTTAATTTTCCTTCACTTATGAAGCTCAGTTTGGCCAGATATGAAATTATTCTGGGTTGGAAATCCTTTAAGAATGTTGAATATTGGCCCCCAATCTCTTCTGGCTTGTAGGGTTTCCAATGAGAAGTCCACTATCAGTCTGATGGACTTCCCTTTGTAGGTGACCTGGCCTTTCTCTATGGCTCCACTTAACATTTTTTCTTACATTTTGACCTTGGAGAATCTGATGATTATATGTCTTGGGGTTGATCTTCTCATGGAGTATTTTACTGGGGCTCTCTGGATTTTCTGAATTTGAATGTTGGCCTGTCCTGCTAGGTTGGGCAAGTTCTCCTGGATGACATCCTGAACTATGTTTTCCCACTTAGTTCCATTCTCCCCATCTCTTTCAGGTATCCCAATCAGTCATCGGTTCAGTCTCTTTACATCCCATATTTCTCAGAGGTTTTGTTCATTTTCACTTTTTCTCTATTTTTGTCTGCCTTATTTCAGAAAGTTTTCAAGCTCTGAGGTTCTTTCTTATGCTTAGTCTATTTGGCTATTGATACTTCTGATTGCATTGTGGAGTTCTCATGTTGTGTTTTTCAGCTCCACCAGGTTGGTTATGTTCCTCTCTAAACTGGCTATTCTAATTATCAGCTTCTACATTGTTTAGATTCTTAGCTTCTTTGCATTGAGTTACAACATGCTCCTTTAGTTCAATGAAGTTCAATATTACCCACCTTCTGAAGCCTACTTCTGTCAATTCAGCCATCTCAGTCTCAGCCCAGTTCTGTGCCCTTGCTGCAGAGGTGTTGCAGTCATTTGGAGGAAATGAGGCACTCTGGCTTTTTGAGTTTTCAGTGTTTTTGCATTGATTCTTTCCCATCTTTGTGGGTTTTTCTACCTCTGATCTTTGAGGTTGCTGACCTTTGAATGGGGTTTTTGTGGGGTATTTTTTGTTGATGCTGTTTTCTAGTCAGGAGATTCTTCCATAGGGTTTCTGTGGTTTGCTGGGGGTCCACTCCAGACCCTTAGTTGCCTCAGTTTTTCCCATACCTGGAGGTATCACCAGTGAAGACTGCAAAACAACAAAGATGGCAGCCTGCTCCTTCCTATAGAAGTTCCATCCCAGGGGGGTACTGATCTGTTGCCAGCCCAAACATGCCCGTAGAAGGTGGCTGGAAACCCCTATTGGGGGGCCTTACTACCCACTCAAGAGAAATGGGATCAGGGACCCACTTATAGAAGCACTCTGGCTGCTTTTTGGTAGAGCAGGTGTGCTTCACTGGGGGGAACCCTTCCTTGTCTGGACCGTTTGTATTGTACAAAGCTGACAGGCTGGAACAGCTGAGTCTGCCAAACCAGAGATGGCAGCTACTGCTCCCCTTGGGAACTCAGTCCCATCTCTGGCAGACTGTTGCCATTGGCTGGATGTAATTCTAAGTCAGCGTATCTTAACTTGTGAGGTGCCATGGATGTGGGGCCCACAGAACAATGCTGCTTGGCTCCCTGGATTCAGTCCCTTCCTAGGATTATTTACAGACGGATATCCTGCCTTGCCAGGGATCCCAGGGTCAGAGTATGTAAAACTCCTGGGTCTGTGTGTGTCTGAGAAGCTGCTTTGCCAAGACTCCGCATAGCTTTGTGTATTGGATTCAAGGCCCTGGTTGCATGGGCTCATAAAAGGATCTCCTGATCTGCAGGTTGCAAAGATCCATGGGGAAATTGTGGTTTCCTGAGTGGGACTGCACAATCACTCACCACTAACTTTGGCTAGGGGCAGGGGTTCCTTTGGCTCCATGCTGTTCCCAGTTGGGCCATCACCCCCACCCTTCTTTTCTTTGTTCTCCGTGGGTCAAGTTGTTTGCCTAGTCAGCCCCAATGCAATAAGCTGGATATTTCAGTTTAAGGTGCTAAATTCACTCCCTATTTTCATTCCGCTCCATGAGTACTGCAGCTGCTTCTAATCAGCTATCTTGGCCCCTCTGCCTTTGGAGTGACTTTCTAAAGGCAAAACTGACTACGCCCATCCCATCCTTAAAATTGTTTCATTGCCTCCTAATACAATTTTAATAAAATCCGAATTATTTACAGTGACCTAAAATCCCTGCCTAAAATTACTTACGACTACCACACTAGCCATATATTTGTAACAGGGGACAATATCAACCTCCAAGGAGGTGAATATTGGTTCTGGAGGGGAAGAGAGGGGATAAAGTAAATCTTTCTCTTTCCGGTGTATAAAGAACAGGTATAGATACAGCATATATAATATCTATGGAGGGGGAGCAATTAGAAAAAGAGTTTAAAGAAAAATTGAGAAATCCACCTAACCTAATCTCAGGTTCCTCTTCCCCTTACCTGTAAGACCAGTGCTACACAATATGGCAGCCCCTAGTGACATGTGGCTACTGAACACTTGAAACATACCTAGTGCAAAAGGAAAAGCAAAGTTTTAATTTTGCTTAAATAAAATTTCAATAGCCATATGTGGCTAGTGGCTACCATATCAGACCACACAACTCTAGACACTCAGACCTCGTTTTGGTTCAAGGATATCAAGCCCTTTGCACATGCTATCTGTATCTATCCATGCTAGGTCAGGATACTTTTGCTACAAATAACAAAAATTCAGAGTGGATTAAACATAAGTCCAGATAAGAGAGAATCCAGGGTTGGCTAATTCAACAGCTTCAATGCCATTATCATGGATCCAGGTTCCTTCCATCTTCCTTCACTGCCATCCCTGGTGCATGAGCACTTCCCTAAGATTGTTCCCCTAATAGTCATAATATGTCTGCCAAAGCACCAGGCATCACATCTAAACCTAATGCTCAGTACGAGACTGTAGCTGTCTCTTTTTTGTTCCCTTTAAAAATGAGATAAAACATCACCTCACATCTCGTTAGCCAGAATTTTATCATATGTCTCTATCAATCACTGGCAAGAGGAATGGGATCACTACATATGGCTCAGATGCTACAAGAGCCATTCCCTGGAGCTGAATATAGTGCTGGTCCCCAAAACATATGGCTAGAGGAGGATGGTGGATACTTGATCAAGCCAGGGCCCTGTAGGAAAGTAGGGACTTGCACACCTTGTATTAAGGAGGGGAGTGTGAAAGTAGAACTTGACCCTCTGTTCTAGGTAGAACTAAGCTGAACTAGTGGAGAACGTGCCTGTGCCAGTGGTTTTCAGAGTGTTGTTATCCAGAAACTTTTTAGAGAACTGGAAATTGTCAGGTCCCACCCTGGACCTATTGAATCAAACTCAGGATGGTGCCCAAGAATCTGTGTTTCAGCAAGTCTTCTAGGAGATTCTGATACATCCTAGAGTTTGAAAACATTGCCCTATTCCAGTGGTTTTCAACTGGGTGGTGGTGGTGGGGATTTTGCCCCCAGCGGACATTTGACAATGTCTAGAGACATTTTGTTGTCACAATTGCAGTGCAGGGTGCTACTGGCATCTAGTAGTAGAGGTCAGTACAACGTGTAAGACAGTCTCCCACAGCAAAGAAGTGTCCAGTCCCAAATGGCAATAGCGCCAAGGCTGAGAAACCATGGGGCAGAGGAAGCTCCTTTACAGTGGCTACAGCCCTCCCGGCTCTCCATGTAGGATTCAGGTCTTTGAACCTGGTTAGCACAAGGATTAGCATCTGTCAAGCACCTTCAGAGCAGAAGAGATGTCAGATTGCCTTTGCCCACAGTCTAATCGACTTGCTTCTAAGCAGTCTTCTAGCAGTCAACTCAGTCAGATCAGTCCCAGGGGTCACTAAAGTATCCATCCATAGCAAAACAATAAAACAGGACACAATGATCATCTTCAGGACAAAAAAAAAGACATTTTATAAGGAGCACAGTCAATATACACATTGGCTGGCTTTCATGAGGGCCTAATTCCTCTGTCTTAGAAAGTTGACAGGCTGTTTGGATCAAGCAAATTTTTTTCCATGCTTAGGAATCTTTCTGTTCAATTGAGTCTCTACTGCCACATCTCTCTCTCTCTCATGGGGCCAGGAAACGGAGATCAAACATCCAGTTCTAACTTTTTCTAGACAAGACACAAGCAAGAAACCATGCATTGTCTTTGGATACAATTTCTCTCCATGAGAGTTTGAAGTTAGCGAAAGCAGCAAATCATATCAGAGTAGCCAATGCCACCATCAGTTCAGCTCAAGCCCACCTCATATTAAACCTGTTTCCAAGGGTTTTATGGCACAGCTTGCTCTACCATGATCACCACGTGAGCTCTTCCGGCACTTACTTAATATAACACTTCCAGGAACAGATGTGCTGGCAAAGTTTATTTACATTAATGTTCTCTCATGTCAATCACACATAAGCCCTGGAAGTTGGTTTTTATATACAGAATCCAGTACCTTCCTGGGAGAACTACTTTTTTCCAAAACAAAAGAAGACAAAATTAGTATGATAATTGCAGAGTTTAATGAACACCTCGCTTCACTTCGGGGTCTCATCTGGAATTTCGGAGTGAACTGTGTCCAGAGGCTGCCAGTGGCAATTCATGAGGGAGTCGTAGAGTTCTTCACTTTTCACCATAAACTCTTGGTTTGATTCTTCAATATTCAAATGAAGATGTGGATCTGCAGAAGCCAATCATGGATATGAAAAAGATAGAGTTTTACAGGACACATACTAGAAATAGTTTAAAATTAGAAAGCTTTTAGAAAGCATTTGCAGGAAGTATTGCAGATAGTAAAGGTTAAAATTCCTAAATTCCCTTTGGGAGACCAAGATGGGTGGATCATGAGGTCAGGAGATCGAGACCATCCTGGCTAACACGGTGAAACCCCGTCTCTACTATAAAATACAAAAACTAGCTGGGCGAGGTGGCGGGCGCCTGTAGTCCCAGCTACTCGGGAGGCTGAGGCAGGAGAATGGCGTGAACCGGGGAGGCGGAGCTTGCAGTGAGCTGAGATCCGGCCACTGCACTCCAGCCTGGGCGACAGAGCGAGACTCTGTCTTAAAAAAAAAAAAAAAAAAAAAAAAAAAAAAAAAAAAATCCTAAATTCTGTATTTCCTTTCAATAAGCTTGAAAATAGAAATTTAAGCTATAAAAGTAGTAGTATCATCAAACTCAATGAGCATCCAGCTGACAGAAGAGATGGAGAAAAAAAATGGACAGATTTGAGATGCCTGGGGGATGGATTCAATTTGGGAGGAAAGGGAAAAAGGAAGGTCAAGAATGACTGCCATGTTTCTGGCAGGTGCCAGGTAGACACAATGCCAAACAATGAACCAAGCCAAGGGCTCCTTAGACAGGGGTTTGTAAAAATAAACATGCTACTTTAACTGCTCAGTTAACAGACTAATGTAAGTGAATAAATTTTATACAGCAACTAATTCAGAAACACAGGAGGACTCGGCCTTCCATCTCTGAAACCTGGAACCCTGTGACGAGATGGTGGTGTTATTGCGAACGTATTAAACCTGGATTTTCAGCCCAAGTTGCCAGGTTTCCAGAGCTTTCCAAGGCTTTCAAGGTCATTAGTTTTTTTTAACGTAATCTATTTTTTTCCTCTCCTTGTACTGAACGTAACTGAAGAAGCCTTTTATGTTTTCCTTTGTAATTTTTGCAAGCCTCAGTTCCTTGTGGATCATAATTTGCTTCCTAATACTCATATGGGTTCATGCTATTCATCTGTATGTCTATTAAGGACTAAATCTTTGCCCCACAAAATTCTTCTATTAAAAGCCTAACCCCCACAATGTGAAGGCATTTGGAGATGGGGCCTCTAGGAGGTTAGATGAAGTCATAAGTGTTGGGTGCTGGTCTGATAGAAGTAGTGCCCTTACAAAAAGAGACAGCAAGCAGGACACAACAGCTCACACCTGTAACCCCAACACTTTGGGAAGCTGAGACCAGTGAATTGCTTAAGTCTGGGAGTTTGAGATCAGCCCGGGCAACATATTGAGACCACATCACTACAAAATATAAAAATAATTTTTTTTAAAAAAAGAAGAGAACTTGCTCACATTCTCTCCTACAATGTATGCATAAAGAGGTCAAGTGTGGAAACAACAAGAAGGCTGCTGTCTGCAAGCTAAGAAGAGAGCCCTCGCCAGAAACCAAATTAGCCAGACCCCGTATATTGGATTTCCAGCCTCCAGAACGGTAAGAAAATAAATTTTTGTTTAAACCACCCAGTCTATGGTATTTTGTTACAGTAGCCCTAGAAGACTAATGCAGTACCCTTCTGTATTTATCATTTTAGAACCAAAATGGTCAAATAGGCTTTAGTCATCATATTAATTTCATGAGCTACTTCTCACTTTTCTTCACTGGAGTCATTCATGATTGTGTTGTCTGATTCTTATTCTTTAGAGCTTCCCATCCCTTTTGAGTCATCTTTCCTTTGAGCATTTCTGGTCATAAAAGTAGATGTTTCCCTTTTTTCCCCCTAAACATTCTGAAATTTTCTTATACTTCTGTCCCCAGTTCCTTTCCTTTAGCGTTATGGGCAGTTGTCTACTAACGGGTCCCTGACTGCATGCCCCGGGTGGGGAAAGAGGAGTTAGGATTATATGCTTATGAGCATGCTCTCCACTTAACCTGTGGCCAAGAAAACAGACACAGTGTGGTCAGCTCCAAGCCCCGGATTATATGATCTCTGCTCTTCCAGTGATGCTGACCAAAACTATAATAGAAGCCTATTTAAGACAAACTAATTATATTATCCCTAAACCTGTGCATCTTCTAGACCAATGTTGTCCAACACAGTAGCCAGTAGCCACTAGCCACATGCAGCTATTGAGCATTGCTGGCCCTCATTGAAATGTGATGTAAGGATAAAATATATACCACATTGAAAGCAGAATGGTGGTTGACAGGGGATGAGGGAAGGGAGAGTGAAGAGTTGTTATTTAATGGGTATAGAGTTTCAGTTTATATAATGAAGAGTTCTGGAGATGAATGGTAATGGTTACACAACATTATGAATGTACTTAATACCACTGATACATTTAAAAGTCTATTGCTTCTTGGCCTTTTGGCTAAGATCAAGTGTGATACATTTAAAAGTCAAGATGGTAAGTTTTATGTTATGTGTATTTCACCACAATAGGAACAATTTAAAAATCTGCTTGAAGGTAATGTCTGAATAGCCCTCAGAATAAGGGTCCCCTCAATCTGCAGATGAGGGGGTGGCCATTAAAAGAAAAACGATAGAAGAAATATATGCTGCATTTCAAAGATTTGATGGGAAAAAAAAGTTGTTTTCATATTGATTGCATGTTGGAATAATATTTTGGATATTGTCTTAGTTTGGGCTGCTAACAACATATCAGAGACTGAGTAGTTTGTAAACAACACACAGTTATTTCTCACAGTTCTGGAAACCAAAAGTCCAAAATCAAGGTGTTGGCATAGTTGGGTTCTGGTGAGGACCCTCTTCTGGGTTGCACACTGCCCAGAAGTCGTATTTTCACATGGCAGAAGGCAGAGAGAGGAATCAAATTCCCTCGTGACTCTTGTAAGGTCACCCGTTCCATTCATGAGGGCTCCACCCTCATGACCTCACCTAATCCTAATCATCTCCCTAAAGATCCACCTCCTAAAACTATCACATTGGGAGTGAGGGTTTCAACATATGAATTTGGCGAGGGAGAGGAACACAAATTCAGTCCATAACAGATATTAGGTTAAGAAACATTGTTAATTTCACCTATCTCTTGAGTTGGTTAATCTGGCTACTAAAAAATTTAAAATTACCCACATGGATAGCTTTGTGTTTCTCATTGTCTATTTTTTAATTTCTACATTTTCAGACTGACAGAGAAAACTGTATGTATTTACCACATATAACAATGTTTCAAGTATATGTTCATTGTGGAATGATCAAATGATCGAATAACTACCTCACATAGTTATCATTTTTCATTTTTGTGGTGGAAACACTGAATATCCACTAAGTATTTTTCTTTATTTTTCCTTTTTTTCTTTTTAAAGACTAGTCAAATGCAGCAGTAAGAAGCAAAGAGTAGAACAAAAAATTCAATCTGCAACTGACTGAACAACCAATTGTGATAACTCACTACCTTCGAATTAACCTGTATTTTTCACTATATTTCTTCATTAACTATAGTCACCATGCTATAATATATAGAGTAAATATATATACTATAGTATATACTCTATATTATATATAATATACTGCATACATATGTATATTATATATAATATATAATATACATATTATGTATATATACTATATATAGTATATATACTATATATATAATATATATATACACTATATACATATTATGTATATTATATATTATATACATATTATATATTACATATAATTTTTTTTTTTTTGAGACGGAGTTTTGGTCTTGTTGCCCAGGCTGGAGTGCAATGGTGTGATCTCAGCTCACTGCAACCTCCACCTCCCAGGTTCAAGCAATTCTCCTGCCTCAGTCTCCTGGGTAGCTGGGATTACAGGCGCGCGACACCACACTCGCTAATTTTTTGTATCTTTAGTAGAGACGGGGTTTCACCATGTTGGCCAGGCTGGTCTCAAACTCTTGACCTCGTGATCCACCCACTTCGGCCTCCCAAAGTGCTGGGATTACAGGCGTGAGCCACTGCGCCCAGCCTACAATAAATCTCTTGAAAGGTGTTCCTCCTAGCTATCTGAAATTCTCTATCTTTTGACCAACATCTCCCTATCACTCTCTCCCTGCAACTACCCCAGCCTTTAATAACCATCATTCTATGTTCTACTGCTATGAAATAAGCTTTTTAAGATTCCACATGAGTGAAATCATATGGCATTTGTTCTTCTGTGCCTGGTTTATTTCACTTAACATAGCGTCCTCCATGTTCATCCATGTTGCCACAAATGACAAGATTTCATCATTTTTATAGTTTAATAGTATTCTATTGTATATATACATATTTTCTTTATATATACTATATATATAAAGAAATCTCTCTCTCTCTCTCATCCACTTATGGGCACTTAGTTTGATTCTGTATCTTGGCTATTGTGAATAGTGCTGCAATAAACACGGAAGTACAGATGTCCCTCTAACATACTGATTTCATTTCCTCTGGATATATGCCCAATAGTGGGACTGCTGGATCATACAGTAGTTCTACTGTTAATATTTTGAGGAAACGCCATACTTTTTATAATTGCTATACCAATTTACATTCCCACCAACAGTATGCAAGGGCTCTTTTCTCCACATCCTACCCAACATTCATCTTTGGTCTTTCAGGCTGTCCTAGACCTGGTGAGCTCTTTCCGGGTTTGGCAAAGGCAGACGCTGACCGCGCCGAGGAGTGGGAACGGCAGTGCTGGACCACCCTTTTCCAAGCGCGGAGGTGCCCTGGCCGCCGGCTCTCAACAGGGCGAGTGGCCCTCCCGCTGCGTAGAGCGCAACCTGGGGATCCCGGGTCCTTGCGCGGTCACTTACCTGGCCCCAACTATCCGCTGAAAACAGTGTGGACCGCCTCCCAGGGTCCCGGCCGATATCGCGCGGGGCGCCGCGGGGCAACTTGTGCGTGTGCGTTCAGGCAGGACTGCTGCTCACCCAGCAGTCCACGATTAGGGCTATTTTTGTATTGTTAATAGAG